TGCGACACTGTCTCGATTGTGCAGATTTCGCTGTTACATGTATGTGAATGCGACTCTGAGGCCAAATCGACATGATACAAGCCGAACCGATTCACTTTAAAAATCGCGGAAAAAGTATTCCTCTTTGTCATTCAAAGAACCTGTCGCCATAGTCGTATTTCTGATTTTTCCATTCTCTATATGCGACAATGCCGCAGAAAAGAATAATTTTAGGTCTTTCCTGTCGAGATTGAGAATCGCCGAAAAAGTGAAATCACTCATATTCTGCGACACGTCTCGATTGTGCAGATTTCGCCGTAACATGTATGTGAATGCGACTCTGAGGCCAAATCGACATGATACAAGTCGAACCGATTCACTATAAAAATCGCGTAAAAAATATTTCCGCTCGCAACTCCGCGAATCTGCCTACTTTCCCGTGTTTCCACTTTTTCCATTCTCTACATGCGACCTTGCCGCAGAAAAGAATAATTTTAGGTCTTTCCTGTCGAGATTGAGAATCGCGGAAAAAGTGAAATCACTCATATTCTGCGACACTTTCTCTATTATGCAGATTTCGCTGTTACATGTATGTGAATGCGACTCTGAGGCCAAATCGAAATGATACAAGCCGAACCGATTCACTTTAAACATCGCGTAAGAAATATTCCTCTTTGTCATTCAAAGAACCTGTCGCCATAGTCGTATTTCTGATTTTTCCATTCTCTAGATGCGACAATGCCGCAGAAAAGAGAAATTTCAGATCTTTCCTGTCGACATTGGGAGTCGCGGAAAAAGTGAAATCACTCATATTCTGCGACACTGTCTCGATTGTGCAGATTTCGCCGTAACATGTATGTGAATGCGACTCTGAGGCCAAATCGACATGATACAAGTCGAACCGATTCACACCATTCTCTACATGCGATATTGTCGCTAAAAAGAGTAACTTCAGATCTTTCCTGTCGACATTGAGAGTCGCAGAAAAAGTGAAATCACTCATATTCTGCGACACTGTCTCGATTGTGCAGATTTCGCCGTAACATGTATGTGAATGCGACTCTGAGGCCAAATCGACATGATACAAGTCGAACCGATTCACTATAAAAATCGCGTAAAAAATATTTCTGCACGCAACTCCGCGAATCTGCCTACCTTCCCGGGTTTCCACTTTTTCCATTCTCTACATGCGATATTGTCGCTGAAAAGAGTAACTTCAGATCTTTCCTGTCGACATTGAGAGTCGCGGAAAAAGTGAAATCACTCATATTCTGCGACACTGTCTCGATTGTGCAGATTTCGCACCATTCTCTACATGCGATATTGTCGCTGAAAAGAGTAACTTCAGATCTTTCGTGTCGACATAGAGAGTCGCGGAAAAAGTGAAATCACTCATATTCTGCGACACTGTCTCGATTGTGCAGATTTCGCTGTTACATGTATGTGAATGCGACTCTGAGGCCAAATCGACATGATACAAGCCGAACCGATTCACTTTAAAAATCGCGGAAAAAGTATTCCTCTTTGTCATTCAAAGAACCTGTCGCCATAGTCGTATTTCTGATTTTTCCATTCTCTATATGCGACAATGCCGCAGAAAAGAGTAATTTCAGATCTTTCCTGTCGACATTAAGAGTCGCGGAAAAAGTGAAATCACTCAGCAGCGTACCTCCATTTTCTGTACTTGTATGTATGCATGATGAATTTTATTTTCTAGACGAATTAAAATCCATTTGAAATCCTCACTTTTTCCGAGAC